CCGATTCCTTCCACGACTTGTATTGACACGCATTCTTAATACTTCTCTGGCGCGTTGAGTAGATTGGCTGCGAGAGGAGAAATCGCATTTGGGGCTCATTACCGAAGCCTTCCGCAGAAGACAATGTAACAGCACAGAATGTGAAGTGAGTTTCGATAGCCAAAGCTTACGCAAAAGACGATCATGGGTCTGGAGAAAACATACCGCGAAAAGGGCATAGGACAATAAATGTCCATGAGGGCCTTGAAGGTCCTTATGGTCGTGGCCAAGCAAAAATTCAGGGTCATACAAGTGCAGATTTGCCGAAGAGCATGCAAGTCTTTCATTCTCGCGCACACACCGTCTCTGTTCTCGCGCGCACACCGTCTTTCATTCTCGCGCACACACCGTCTTTCATTCTCGCGCGCACACCGTTTCCAAACATTCCCCTATTTTCCTCCCTCCTCCCTTCTCTAACATTGAAAGACATTTCGCCCATGTCATCCATGACGGGGCACTCGGAGGACTCTCGCGGCCGCGCCATGCCTCTCTCCTCCCTCGAAACGCAGGAGGAATTCAGATTCCGCTCCGACAAGGACGGGACGGGACAATAATTAATTACTAATTAATTTATTACATATTCATTTATTTATCTATTCAGAATTTGCTTAATTATGCATGCCAATTTTTCATATTTACTTCGTCTTTTTACTTGAATATTTATTTCACTATTATATTTTACTTTTTTTTTTATTCTTTAAATTCTTCAGGCTTCATGACGGCTCGAGGAAAACTCATGATCTAGCCTGATTTAGCTGCGAAATAAATTTTGTCTTTCCAAGATGGAGGAGTAAATTCTAACCTCCAAGCTTAACCGACTTAACCGGCAGCATGGTTCTCGCTTTCCAGACAGTACCAAAAGTACCCTTCCACGCATCTCTAGATTCTTCCTTCACAGAAGTACGTAGTACCTCCTTATATACTGTAATGTCTCATAAAGGCAATCAGCCGAAGCTGTCATTCCTTCATTTATGATTTCTGTAAATGAGATAAAATCGTGGAGTTCAGGAATTAATCATGCGAATACTGTCTATAAGAATCCCTGCCTGCATCGACATTGCTCATTCTTCTGGAAGTCAAAAATTTTGAAACGGCGTTATAGTAATTGCGAGTTCCGTCCATCGCTCCTCGTCCAGGTAATAGGACGGGTTGAATGGTTAGAGTTCGAATTTACTGCTGTAGAACAAGAGAGTGGAGCATTACATCTTGAGTACCGATATTGGTACTCTTGAGTGATAACTTTGCTCAGCTCAAGTACAATAACAAGGACATTCGTTACCATTAATAGAGAAAGGAATTGAGCAACATCGGGAACATGCGGGAAAAAGAGAATTATATTGGGCCTTTATTGGCAGCCAGAAACCCCCAATCACGTTGCCACCATTGGGCCATTCTCGCCCCGATTCATTGGATATCCATCGGCCGACGAGACATTATGGAATTGGCCCGTTGTTGAAGACCGAGATTGGTCCAAGCACCTTGCCGATGATATGCCATGCTTGGCCCAATGAAGATTGGCTATCTGAAGGGGGGGGGGGATCCTTTCGATCCCAAAAACTCCTTTATCTTTCGTACTTCTTTGAAATTTCCCTAACTTTTTTGGAGTCGGTCGTTTTGGTCGGCCGGCTTAAGGATCGCATCTCTGTTATCCCAAAATCAGTTGTTGTTAGTTGTCCTACAGCTAGTCCAATAACCAATTACTCAGAGCAATCTTGAATCGTCTGGTAGCATGGCGTTCCATTTCGCCAATTTTCTGCAGTCATACGGAGGAAAATATCGCATTTTACCTGATACACGGCGCTGCTGAGGGCACTGAAGTTGAAGACGAAGTGATTCGCACTGCAAGGCTTCGGCTCCGTCGCGATCTCTTCCTCCGAGGAACGCGTGAAGCACTTCCAATAGTATCCGCCGGATAGGTCGTTCTGGACTTTGCCGAAGAATACGCGCTCGCTCCAGCGTCCAGTGCCTCCGGAAATGAGAGCCAAGGCTGCACATGCAACCATCACGATCGTCTTCGCGGTGCTCGAGGTCGCGCTCCTCCTCCTCCGAACGAGGCCTGAAAAGGAAATGACTCCTTCGTCGACATCCTTCCGCATCAGCTGTGGATCTCTTTCCCTCTCACCTTGCGGTTCCTTCGTTGGGAGGTCCTCGGCCATTTCGACTCCCATATCTGAAAGCGGGTTACAGGGCTGAAATTTTTAAAAGGAAATTCTGGTTTGAGGGAATATTTAACAACCAATCGAATTTTTGTTCCTGGTTTCTTTACTGGTTTTTTTTTTTAGGTGCTTTTCTCTTGACCGAGTTCTTCGACCCGAGTTAATTTATTTTTCTTTTGGCCTTCGGTTTTTTTTTTCCGGCGTGAGGACGTGGCAGATATTTTCTCAAGGAAGAATTTCGATGCGGATCAACAATTGATCTTCGATCCATCCTCTCGTGGAAAAGGTCTAATTCCGATTTATCATTATTATTTTCCAAGACAACCTTCGATGTCAGATTTCAAATAATTAAATTGGCTCATGTTTTCCGAGTCCAATATGGAAGGATGGAAAGATACCTGCTGGATGCTGGACAATTCAAGATGTGCAGAAATATTTTTTTTTAAATGGCAAACGTGGCGGACTGGTGCAGGAAATTTGGCTTCGAGTCGGGTTTCACTTTTCTCAAATTGAGAAAAGTCCAGCGTCTAGCACAGCGATGCATTCCAATCACCTTGTCCATATTGGTTTCGTATTTCCATAATTGACTTGGTAAACCTTTGCAGGGTGCGCCAAAAATAAAATGTACCACATTTTTCATTTAGAGGTAACATTTTTGCTAAGTGACTACAATCTTTACCATTGTTGGGAATGCCTGAGCTTCAATAAAATTAGTTTTTTATTTCGAAAGTCAGTTCAGAAGTATTTGCACAGTGACGATTTTATGGCGAGAGGCCATAAAACGAGAGGCGAGGACGAGAGGCGAGAGGCCATCGTTGCTAGTTTTTTTTTTTATAAAGATCTTTATCAATTTGCTGTGACAGCAAATTGAAAAGATGGAACTCCTTTTTTGGCCAACTTGTATATCTCTATCTTGGTATTTCTTGGAAGACAAGCCCATGTATTCCCGTTATTTGAAAACATTTTCTTTACTGCAACTTTCTAATAAAGCATCTATAAAGAGAAGGGGGGGATAACAGCTTCTTTAAACGAGGCAAATCCGCGCCGAACCTCGAACAGCGACCCGAAAACGCCGGGCTCACCAGGGAGGTCACAGGAAAGGAGGTAACGGGAGGGGACGTCACGGGAGGGGAGGTCACGGGACGGGAGGTCACGGAAGTCCTGCCTGTCTGAGGCGGTGGTCCTCTATAAGGCGGTGGTCCTCTATAAGGCTCTTTCCTCCTTGGTTGTGGTGCTCGCTTATGGTTCAATTATTTCACGATCAATGCGTTCCTCGTAATACTCGTCGATATTCTTTGCAAGTGATGAAATGGATAAGCGAATAAGTGGATCAAGAATAACTTATTTAGACACATAGTACAATGGAGCAAGGCGATTCTATCAGGGAAGCTCATTGAATGCAGGGAAATGAAACTAATAATGCCGCGCCTCCTAGCACTTCCAAGCACTCCAAGCAAATATGTCCCTGCTCCTCCTCACACCATTACCCCTTCAAGCACTCCAAGCAAATTTTTTTTCCCTCCAGTCATAGTCCACGTTTCCTGCGGATTCCTACTTATGCCTAATCCCTCTGGATTTGGCCTAATCAGGCGCCACATTGCTTGTCCTAAGAACTCGAAATGATGAGGCCAACTGAGAGAACTTGGAACTTTTCTGCGAATTTTTGTCGCATTAGAAGGGCTACTTCAAGCTTATTTTGCTATGCTGAAGTTTTGCACTGGTCCTAGCTCCAAGTGTTTCTAATTAGTATTCATTTATTCTTTTTTCAGATGTATGGATAATCGCTGATGCATGGATAATCCAACGATGGATCGAGATATCATCGGCATTGGCATATTTTGTTTTATGTTCAATAAATAAATTTTGGGATACGATGGGTTATGAAGAAACAAATATCAAGATGGAGATATGAAACTCATGAGAAAAAGCATCATGTATTCTTGCATGTCAGGAAAAACTTCGAAAGGGCGTACTGGCAGCTCTGTTCACGAAAGTCAACTACGCTCACGAAAGTGAAGTGCAAATGCTTTCGAACTTGCCCAGAACAATAGTTCAATCTGACACTGTAGTCGCACCAGAGATCCCATTGAGTCATTGATATTGAATGATATTGATTGATATTGATATTGATATTGATATTGAACTTTTTGTAGGGATGTCGGTTCGTTTTAAGCAATCCAAGAGATTGCCGAGAGAGGAACGAATCACAGCTGAAGCACCAGATTTGGAGAAAGGAGAACTCTCCCTGTGAGGTCGCCGTATTCACGCCACGTACGTACGCGATTCTCTGCAGACCACAAAATATAGGCGTGAAGCGGCGTGAAAGTCCCAGAGGTCATCGAGGAGGACGAAGAAGAAGCGGAAGAGGATTTATTAAGCAGGATTTAGCGGACTTTTTTATCACTTGTTCGATCCAGATATTCCCGTCCGATAAGCCGCTAGATCCTCTTCTCCAGAGCGACGGGTCTCGGGAGCAGGCGAACTTTCCGTTGCTCACGAACCTCCGTCGTGAGGGGGTTGTGCTATGCAAAATCAAAAAAGGGCAAAACCGAAATCAGAAAATTTGTTTCAAACGAGGAAACAAAATCCACCCAAAATCCAATCTTGATGTCGGGTTGTGAATATTCAAAGATTAAATAAATCATATGTATATATGTAATTATGTACCATCCCCAGATGGTATGGCATGTGGTATGGCATGTGGTAACATATCTCAGAAGCATTCAGTCCATTCCATGCCGTTCAACATATTGAGAAAATGAAATTTTTTACGAAATTTCTTAGTTGCAGCATGGAACTTCTGGATGAAATCAAATTTAAAATTAAATGCCAATATTAGTTTCCTCACATTTGTAGCTTAACTATTGTGATGTTTGAGGATACCCAATTCTCGAAAAACTGAAATATCCTGACATATTCATATACGTACATGCACTGACTTTCAGGTAATGGTATTTTGAGCTCCATATCTTTCTTCGAGATTGACTTTAAACGTATGGAATATTCCTGCATATACCGGCGGTTTCTTGCATGATTCGTGATGGATATTCGTAGCCTCGATTTCCTGCTGCTCGTCTTCATCCGCCTGGGAACTGCTCTCAATCCTCTTATGGTCTGATTTCCCCTTCGTAGAGTGAATCTCCACTCTGGAAAACATGTTTTACTATCTCTTCAAAGTCAAGACGCGTGCTGACCAAATCTGCATTTGACCAAAAGGAAAACTGAGCAAGACCGGAAGAGCTTGGAGGTGAAGGAGTCATTGATGGCAAAAACGTCATTTGGCTCGATGTCTCGTGTCTTGGGGCTCTTGTTCAGTATCCTCTGCGTCGCCTTCCCCAGTGTCAGGGACTAGAGGGCTCGGATCAAGTCTCTCTCTGGGATGTGTGTCTCACTTGCTATCTCCTGTCATGCATTGCCCTGAATTAAACTCTTTTGCTCTCAATATGGGAACAACAGATTTCGTGTAATATAACTTGTTTTTTTTTTCTGGTTGAGTTAGCAAATTTTGAATTGCCCGCATCATTTCTTTTTTTAGGTTGAGCATTAGGATAACACAAAAGATGAAAGGAGTGATGGGAAAAGGGAGGGGTAAGCGGAGACATACCGCATACGAGATTCGAGATCGATCATTGAAAAGCATCAAGATGCACACTTGGAACGTCGACATCTGGATCACGTGATGCCTCGCCCTCCCCACCTCGCCCCCCCACGTCCCGACTGATCCACCGTCGGGCCTAGCGGACGACAAAGCGGAACCGGGAGACGGGCGTCGACTGCCGAGACGGGCAAAGCTGGACCCTCCATCCCCGGCCTCACCGTCTTCGCGTCTCGGTCCGAAAAACGGGGCGTAGATATTTGCTGATCCTAGTTGGGGCTGGAGGGTCAGTTTTCGTCCGGAATGGTGTGACAGGTAGAATCTGGACAGAATTTACTTTCAAAGGTACATCACTTCTGGGTGGATGTGAAATCTTACTAGTAGTGAAATGAGGAACAATTCTGGTGATTACTTGGAAAATACCAATAAAATAGGGCTCCTGAGTCTGGCCTTGACCTTTGCACAACTCAAATGTCTTATACATTTCTAGTTATTTTTTACTTTGACCTTTGACTTAAGCACAGACCACCCCCATTTGTAAGGTATAATGACCCAAAAATCTCTCTGAAATCATAAATATATAGGCTAAATAAGCATTTTGGTCTTATGTAATTAACAAGATATTGAAATTTGTTTTGTTTTTTTAGATTGCGGACTCACTACATAGTCATAAACAAAGGCAGAGATCACGAAAATTAATTATTTTTTCATCGATGTTGCAGGCGAAACACCATGAAATTCATTTTGACAACGATCAATGAATTACATTCGATCCAAATCCAACTGTTCACACAGCTTTTCGAAATTTCCGTTGGAAATCGTGGGTTTCACTATTGGATAATTTAAAAAAAAATTGTTGAAGTTAATTAATGTTGTGAATATAGCCAGTTAGCAAGACGTGATTTTCTTGTATTTTGCCACAGCTTGAGATATTTACTCTCTGACACAGAAAACGAGAGAGTTATCGCCAGGGGCACAGAAGGTCATTTTTTTGCATGTGGCCAAATTTCACACGCTTTTAACCAGTGGTGGCGGGGGGGGGGGGCTGAAGACCCCCCAAGGTTTTTCTTGTCCCCCCTTTGGCGAAACCCCGGCTACTTCAATGCCTCTAATACGGTCTGGATGCGATTTAAAGTCCTCAGATATCGGCAGTATGATGATCTCGACATATTTTCAGTGCAAGCGAAATGGAATATACAGTAATTATATGTTGTGAAGCATGGACCAAAAGTAGAGCGGAGTAGGAAAAATCTGGGAATATGATCTTCAAAAAAAAAAATTCGGGAACATCCGGCGTTCCCTGGAAACCGTAAACCCACCTACGGAATCCCTGGAAGGCTGTGAGAGCTTCGACAGGGATGGCGCACTCGCAAGCGACAGACCGAGCCGGCCAGAATCCCGCCGTCAGGTCCAACCCCGGCCGATCGTCCTGCACGGAGGACCACACCATCCACGCTTGCAATCCCCCAAAGAGCCACTGTGAACAGGTTCGACTGGGATGCACTCACCCCGGCGGCGTCGACGCGGTGCTTCAGCTCCTTCGCGATCGCTTTCGAGACCGCCATGCCCTGCAGCATCCCCTCCAGCTTCGCGGTGAACTGACTCCCGCATTCAGTCTAGTCGAGAAATACACTTCTCAGCTGTATATACAGTTTATATGTTATACAGTTTATATATTATACAGTTTATATATACAGTTTATATATACAGTTTATATATTATACAATATGTACTATATACAGGGTCTTTCTAAATTAAGTCGCAATTTTGAACAATTATATTAATATATCTGAAATGAATAGAGCTGTGAATATGAAATGAAGTGCATTCTATTGGAGGACAACGGAAGCTTTTTTTTCCCGTGGTTAGTTGTCCTATCTCCCACATACAGCGCTGAAAACAGTCATGAAGTCAAATGGCTGATTTCACAGGAAGCGAGCGCGCTGCATGCTTGTCATGATTCGATGAAACAAAATGTCCGAAACTGTCGTGCAGCGTCGTTCTCGACGGCAATACGGAAAGCCACGTAAGTCTATCGGGAAAACGGGGAGCTCGGATTGCTGCAGCTGTTGCCGCGGTTATCGCTGACATGCTCACTCGCGTGTGCGAAAAACCCCTGCACAGATGAGGCCTTCTCCGCGTTACGCGAGGACACCACTTAGAAAATTCGTGGAAAATGTCACGGGGGAAAATTTTTTAGGTTTTTAGTAATAAAATGCGCTTCGTTTCATACTCGATGCTCTATTCATTTCAGCGATACAATTCTTAAAAAAAAAAAAATTTAGAAAGTACATATTGAAAAACCCGGGAAGTACCTTGAGACGGGAGACCATGCTCCTCTCGGTTTCCTCCGAGACCGACTCGAGAAGCAACCGCTCGGCCAGGTGCTTTTCGTAGAACCGCTGGAACGCGTCCTTCTCCGGCAGAAACCGGAACAGGGCCATGGTCCCGTCCATCACCTTCCTGATTTCCGGTTCAGTCATCTGGAGAGACAGATCTAACCTCTCCATAAATTCGGGACAGAATTATTTATCCATTTATTCAATCAGCAGTCCACGTTTTCCGGGATAAATCATCACAAATTTCAATTATGTTGCGACGCTCGAGGGAAATGCTAATAGAAACGCGTGTTGGAGCGATACTGTCCACGGACGCGAACCGCTTATCGTGCGAGTTCTGAATTCACAATATTGTCACTGAATATGAAAAAAACATGCATGAGTGTGAAAATGTCTCCAGGAAAGAAATGTTCCAGGAACCTGAGTGTAATATGGTCTTACAGTGTTTGCTGCTTTTCTCAGAACGTGCCAGTTTGGTATGTATAGGTACTTTCTAGAAACATAAATAATTAAATGAAAATAAAATAAAAATGATGAAATAAAAACAAAATAAAAACAGTAAAATCATAACATTAAAATAAGGAAGTAAAAATAATAAAATATATAACAATTAAATATCAAAAAATAAAATGCAAAATATATCAAAGAAGAATCAACTGGATATGAACTCATTGTTCAGGTATCACTCTAGGATTGCACTGGAGAACTGAAGCGTCCTGGACTCACCCCTCGCGCTCCTCTCATGGCATGATCGATGAAGAGGGAGAGCCTCTCGGCGGAGCGCGGATCGAGGCCGAGAAGGTGGTGGAAGTCCCGGGCGACCGCCTGCTCGACGACGCGGTCGCCGCGGAAGGAGGACCGGAGGAGGCCGTCCAGCTGGTGCTTCAGGTCCAGGAGGCTCTGGGGAAGAAGGACATGTTCAAGGAAATTTTTGGATGAACAGGTCTGGATACCGATTTTACTCCGCTTACTATATTTTTCTTTTAGAAATTGTTTGAACAGGTCTGGACACTGTATCTTCTGATTTTCTTCAGAGAAAATTATATGAACAGGTCTGGAAATTGATAGCCGCGTTTCAACGCTGAATCAGATTAGGTTTCATCCTGTTTCGTTCGGAGACCAAAACAAGAACCTGTTTCTTTATCTTGCGAAACTTTTCGTGTCATATGCAGCATAATTGGCTGAAACGGATAATATTGCGAGTATGGGGGAGCTCGTCGTAGTCGATGCGTCTCTAGCATGCCTCTTCGCTTTCTTGAAATTCAGTCGATTGGAGCTGTTTAGATGCCGGGCTTAATCTGGAACTGCTCTCATATCCTGCCCTTGTGGTGTATCCTAAGGTACACAAAAATTGAATTTTGTTTTCTCTCATTTTTGGGAAAAACAACAGAAGAGGTGGGACGTTGAACAATTTTTAATTTCACGGGCGTTCAAGTCATTCTTCCCAGGAACAATGTGTTAAAAATGAACCATGGAAACCATCTCTTCTTTCGCATTCAAAAAAAGACAACCCAATAATCCAAACTTCAAGAAATTTTCGAAAATTTAGAACGATCCTCATACTAAACCAAATTTCCCCTGCTGACCTGGACGTGCGAGACGGGCCCCTCCGCCTCCGCGACCAGGGCCCTCCCCCGCTCACGAAGGTACGCGGAGACGCACTTCGCCGTGATGTTGCTCCCTTCCGGCACGCTCGAGTGGAGGTCGTACCTCGAGCGGAGCTCCTCCGCGCTCCCGTCACGCAGCATGCGGGCGATCTCGGGGCTCTCCCGCTGCAAGGCAGGGAATGAGGGTGGCTTCGGTGCAACAGTTGCCTAATAATTGCATTTCATTAAATTTTAAATATATTTTATAAATTATATAAAACTATTATTCCTGTAACATATGATGCAATGAACATTACTGAACTCTCAGTCTCCTTATTGTCCCTTTAAAGTAGCGTAAGGAACGTCCAGGGCGATTGAGCACTGCCAGCTTATTTTAGGACATTGCTGTTCGACGCAGAGTAAAGCCCCATTAATTCATAACGTGATGTCCTCAAGGATCTCACTCATGAACGACTCGGTTTTACACTCAGTATCCAACGCACATTCGTGCGGAAAATCCTACCGTTAATAAACTTAGACATATCGAAGAACGAAGGTGAAAGAATGAAATCCAAGAAACCAACCGCGAGCATTATTTTAACTATAAATTACTCAATGAGACGGAGATTTAAATATATATTTTCTATTTAAGGAGAAATTCATATCGGCGGGAAGGAGTGCCTTTCATCAATGGGTAACAGACATACTGCGACGATGGCGTCCAGGTTGTCCAAAATGAGGGCATCCGTCATGGCGCGGCGGAGGGCGCATTTTCCCACGCCGTAGCGCGAGGCTCTCCGTGCCTCCCTCTCCGTCCAGGATCGCACGTGCCGAATGTACGGCTGGATGTCGGAGGCGGTGCTCTCGAGGGGAGGCCTCTGGTTCTCCTCCTGGTTCGTATGGACGATGTTAGCGCCAGAATGTTAAAACCTGAATTAGTTAATTTCTTAAAGTTGATTCCTATGGGAAAAAACTCTTCAGCTTAAAGTCTCCCTATCTCTCCCCTTAAGGAGCTTGGCGAATTCGGGCCTTAGATTCTATATCGACGGGAGTCTGGCCACATGTGGCTCAGAAGCAGCATGCTCACAATAAAATCCGGATCGGCTCAGACCACAAAATTCGAGAGATTGCCAAACACACCTCCACAATGGTCTCCATGTGGTCGCACCTGGAGTCGTCCTCAGCCTCCTGGATGGCTCCCTCCTTCTCGACGTTCGTCCGACTCTCCTCCTCGCGGACGGACGACCCCCCTTCCAGGAAATTCCGACTCTTCGCCTGACCATCGAAAAAAAATTTCTGATTTCCCTCTGCGCTGAACGGCGAAGCGGGAAAGAAAGCGCCTCACTCGGTAGAACTCCACCGCCTGCTGAAGGAACGGGTCCTCGAAGACCCTTTTGTAGATGTGGCCGCCGAGCATGGCGAGCATGGTCGTGATGTCGCGGATCATCGACCGGTCGACGGCCTCGCCCCTTCGCTCCCTCGCCACCGTGTCCGACAGGGCTTCCTTCAGCTGCTCCTTGATCTCCCCGTATTTAATCACCTATTTAAGTATATATATGCCATAAATAAATAAAAATTATATTTAAAAAACAATTATATTAAAAAACAATTATATTAAAAAAACAATTATATTAAAAAACAATTATTTTAAAAAACAATTATTTTAAAAAACAATTATATTACAAAACAATTATATTACAAAACAACAAGCTAAAAAAATACCGACATGGTCCCTGAAGAGGGTCAGGCCCAGGCCGTAGACATCCTCCACCCCGTGCTGCGGCACGTAGACCCGCTCCATGTGCGAGAGGATGTCCCTCATGATCACCAGGGAGATCTTGTGGTCCGTCCAGGCCAGGGTGAGCGTCTGGAGGAAGTCGCTCGGCGGCGACTCCAGCAGATCCTCGCGGACCTTTCGGCGACAGAATTTTTATTTTTTTTTTTTTTTGTCAGCGATTCTGCGAAAATTTTCGGAGTCGCCGAAAGTTGCCCGCATTTTCGTGAGCAACCTTCCTTTGGTTTCTTAGAGGGAATTAACTAATTAATTAATGCGCGCGGCATCATTCAGCGGTGCCGGCTGCTGCTTGTAACAAAGCCGATGGATTAAAAGGATTAAAAGGGATTATACTCTTGTGTGAGAGCAGGATTAATGAAAATCAGTCGTTTCCTCTTTTTGGGATCTCGCCAGAGCCTCGAGTGGGCTCGATTCTTCATTACGATCCAATAATGCAAACCTTCCCAAAAAATACAATTTAGAAAATTAGCAATGGGAATTAGCGCGCATTTTAATTTGCAAGCCCGAGGGGATCATGTAAATGACCAAGAAACATTATTGAAAATCCCTCTGGACAAACCGTTTCAAGCAAGAAAAAAATCGGTTCAAGAAAATTTTCATTCGAAAATCGGTTGGCATTCGTTGGCCAAGGAAGGCCAGGTCCTTGGAGGGGGGAAA